TAGGGATTTAGGCTATTGATTCAATAATATCAATGATGGAATAAATTATTATATAATATATATAAGTTAATAATTATGTAATATAATACTTTAAACTCCTTTTCTTCAGGCCGATGACCCGGTATATAGTTGGGAAGGCCTGTATCAACAACTTTCCTAATTAGGACAAAATGATGTATCATGACATAACCATCAAAAGTACTGATGGCAATCAAAAATGGTTCCACAATAAAATCATTATCTAGATAGGTGCATTGCCACAAGCACTAGGATACCAGATAAGGAATAATAATATTTTTTTGTAAAAGTGTCACACATGTCACACATGTTACAAAGTGTCACATTTGGCTCTAACAGAGGCCAGTAAAGGGCTGCCTAGGTAGGGCTAATCCTCTAGGCAATGGGTTCCCTAGCTGTACCTACTGGTTTTAGCCTAAATCTTACCACTATGGCTCGGTCTTTGTCTTTGGGGACTACGACCTTGCCACGGAAGTACAGGAGGTCGCCTGAGACGGCCCACTCGTCCGAACGCGATGAGCGGGGGCCCCGAGCTTGACCTCGGACCTTCAAGAGTTGCCGAGCCGCAAGTGCGACGGGTTCCTCTAGGTCAGGCTCACCGGATAGCGCTTCCTTGATGTCGCGGACAAGTTCGGAGCCAGGCCCAGAGACAGTGACGGCCTCAAGCACGCGAACGTGGAACAGTTCGGGGCGTAAGAGGGTGACATCCGAGTTGTCGTCGGAGATACCGTGGTCAGGCCGGCGGGAGAGAGCATCGGGACGGCCCATCTGGCGACCTGGGACGTGGTGCAGCGTAAAGTCAAACCTGGAAAGGTACAACGACCATCGGGCTTGCCGACGATTAAGGTGTTGCGCCTTTCGGAAGTATTCCAAGTTCTTATGGTCAGTCCAGATCTCAACCGGATGCGCGGCGCCCTCGAGGAAATGCCGATACTCCTCGAGTGCGCGGATGATCGCGAGCATCTCCTTGTCGTGAATCTCGTAGTTGCGCTGGACATCATTTAAGCTTTTGGAATAGAACGCTACAGGGTGCCACTTCCCGTCCGGGGCGGATTGTTGTGAAAGAACCGCCCCCGTCGCATAATCTGAGCTGTCTGCTTCAAGTCGGAAAGGCCGAGAGTCGTCCGGGATCGCTAAGACAGGTTCTGATACGACCACATCCTTGATGGCTTGAAAGGCGGCGGCTTCGGCGTCTCCCCAGGTCCATTTCTGGTCTTTCTTGGTGAGCGCAAAGAGAGGTTGCGCTAGGGCCGAGAAATCCCGAATGAACCTGCGGTAGAAATTAGCAAACCCCAGGAACTGCTGAACGTCCTTCTTGTTTTCGGGCGGAGGCCATGCGGAGACTCCGGCGACCTTAACGGGGTCCATTTCGACATGGTTGTGTGAGATAATGACCCCCAAGTACTTGATTGACGATTTCTCGAAGTCGCACTTTTCCTTGCGAAGGTACAACTTGTGCATTCGGAGCTGCCGAAGGACCTCCCGGACGATCTCGCGGTGCTTGCGGGAGCCATAGTGGTAAGATTTAGGCTAAAACCAGTAGGTACGGCTAGGGAACCCTTTGCCTAGAGGATTAGCCCTACCTAGGCAGCCCTTTACTGGCCTCTGTTAGAGCCAAATGTGACACTTTGTAACATGTGTGACATGTGTGACACTTTTACAAAAAAATATTATTATTCCTTATCTGGTATCCTAGTGCTTGTGGCAATGCACCTATCTAGATAATGATTTTATTGTGGAACCATTTTTGATTGCCATCAGTACTTTTGATGGCTATCTCCTGATATATCATTTTGTCCTAATTAGGAAAGTTATTGATACAGGCCTTCCCAACTACATACCGGGTTATCGGCCTGAAGAAAAGGAGTTAAAAGTATCATATTACATAATTATCCAATTATATGTATTACATAATAACTTATTTCATCATTGATATCATTGATTCAATAGCCTAAATCACTAGGTACAGCTAGCCCTAGGTGGAAATAACTGTGTAGGCAAGCACCTCTTTAGCTGTACATAGGCCTTTAGCCTAAAACTTACAGCTAAGGGTGAAAGACCTGAGGAGGCGCATTATAGAGCTCTGCCACGACACGCGTGTCGCCGGACATGCCGGGCGGTTCAAGACCCTGGAGTTGGTTTCGCGCAAACTACTGGTGGCCACAGATGTCCCGCCATATCGGACGCCGCGTCGCGACCTGCGACTTATGCTGTCGTCACGGCCCCTCCGAAGGCTTCCGCACGGGGAGCTACATCCAACCGAAGTCCCCCGAGCGCTGGCACACCGTCACTGTGGACTTCATCGTCCGAGCTCCCCGAGGCCCATGGGTATGACGCGGTTATGGTAGTGGTTGACGCCCTCGGGAAACGCGCTCACTTCACCGAATGCCATACGACAATAGACGCGGTCGGAGCTGCCCGCTTGTACTATCGGAATGTCTGGAGACACCACGGAACCCCGAGAAGTACATTTCAGACCGTGGTTCGCAGTTCATCGCTGACTTCACGCGAACTCTGGCGCTTAATTGGCGTCAAGCCGGCTACCTCTACGGCTTACCACCCGCAGACCGACGGACAAACCGAACGCATTAACCAGGAGCTCGAGCAGTACATCCGAATCTTCACCAACTACCAACAAGACGACTGGGACGAGCTTATCCCTGCCGCTGAGTTCGCCTATAACAACCACGTTCACTCCTCCACTCAACAGGTACCCTTTATGACGGACACTGGCCGGCTCCCCGAATGGGTTTCGAGCCGGGCACCCGCTCAGAGTTGGAGTCAGTGAACGAAGTTTCGCGATCGGATAGCGAACGGCGTCTCCGAGGCGAAGGCCGCGCTCGTCAAAGCCAAAGACGAGTATAAACGGTACTACGATCGGAGACGATCGGACGCTCCGAATATTCAAGTTGGTGATAAGGTTTGGTTAGATGCCTCTGACATCAGAACAACTCGGCCCTCCGAGAAGTTCTCCCACAAGCGCCTCGGACCGTTCAAGGTGCTCGCAGAGGTTAGCAAGGGTGCCTACAAGCTCGACCTCCCCCTGCGTTACTCCAAGCTCCACCCCGTCTTCCCCGTTGTTAAACTCGAGCTCGCTCAGGACGACCCCCTTCAATGGACGACCCGGCTACGACGAACCGCCCCCGAACTAGAGGACGGAATCCCCGAATGGGAAGTCGAGGAAATCTTGGATGCCAGGATAAGGTATAACCGTCTTAACTACTTCGTCAGGTGGAAAGGCTACGATGCCCGACGACTCGTGGGTTCGGTTCGACCGTGTCTTCGCGCCAGACAAAATTGCGGACTTCTATCGGAGGTACCCAGGTAAACCACGGCACATCGCCTCAGCGACCTTCGACTCCTTGCCCTTCCGAACTATGCGTCGGGACGCCGCATTCAAAGGGGGGGTGATGTCAGGGGAACCCCCGCTCGGCCTCCTTCGGACCCTCCGAACGCATCCGAGGCGCATCCGACCGGCGCCCCTCGGACGCTCCGACCCACCCGACCATCGTCCACGGCCTCCTTCGCCCCGCACAATCACCGATCCGTCAAGACCCTCCCAACGATCACCTTGGGACAGAGCCTGCGACACCGCTCAGGCCTTCTGCGCTCTACGTCGGCAGTTACGGACGACCAGTATATAGTTGGCGCCCTAGCAGGCGGACCCTTAGAGTTTCTTCTCTTTGGATCCTCCCCTGCTAGGTCGGTCCCTCCGTGTATTTGCTGTAGTCTTATTCACACTTTGGATCCTCCCCTGCTAGGCTTTCGTCGGAGTCTCCAGGGTTGCCCTTACAGCACCGCCACGTTTATTCGCATCGTCTTTCTGCGTGTATTTTAGACCAACAACATTGTTAGAGAGTATGGAATGCACCTTTTTTGTCTTCTCGCAATCCTCGTCTGTCTTCGACGCGTAACCGTCCCTTTGCTGGCAAAGAAGATCGAGCTGAGCGCCAAATGACGGCGCCAACGATGAGCCCTGTATAATGTTGGCGATAACAGGGACTCGGTCGGGGTCCTAGATATATGTAAGTGCCAGCCGCGAGGTATAACAGATGTACGCACCTCCTGATAGACAAGTAGATTGTCGAGGAGTTTGCGAAGAGTCATGTCACTCCCGACGATGCCCAATGCACGCAGCTCTTTCCCAAACTCCTGGTCCTTCTTTCCACGCTCACCCCGCTTCACAGCATAAAACCCGACCTTGACTCCGACATGAACGACATCAAGCAGCTGCTTGGCGGTATAACGAAATTTGCTGGGTGGGGCAACATCACCGGTGGGCGGTGGGACGAAGTTTTGCACTTTGAGGGCAAGGGGAGAGGGAGGAGGGGCTTGGTTGTGTCCTATCTGAGGCGCAGAGGGGACTTAGGGCGTGCGACGGTGGGGCGACACGGAAAGACGCGTAAGACGCGTTTTGTGACGCGTCAAATTGGGAGGTTGTGTGGGCCCAGTCGGATACGGATGGGTCTAGGCGCTGCAGCGGGCGTCTGGGGGTACGGCCAGCCATACTGGGGGTAGAAGCGTTGGTCGTACGCGTCGTAGGCCATGGGAAGTGGAAGGAGGAAAGGGCTGACGTTGACAGCATCACTATCAGTCACCTATCAGTCACTCGCCTTTTTGGGTCCTAGCAACAGGAAACCACATTGATTGGGTCTCGGCTAAGCAGCTGCGAATATGGTCTGTTGTCGAGGAAGTCTTTGATCTCTGGCACTTCATGGCACTTGCGTGGACAACTGACGTATGTAGGCGCTTCTGACACGATACATACAAGGGTAAGTATGTAGTACGGACCCCGCTACGCTTTCCGAATTCGGGACTACTGCTATCCGAAGAGGCCCCTTTGTGGCTTTGTAATTTAGCTCCTACTCAAACTCCTATTCTGCACTGCCTTGTGCTTCAGGTATAAAATGCCGGCAAGCCTCATCTATCCTTATCCCCAATGAACGCTAAGTATCGCTGCTAGACGTGTAGCCCTTGTCATCATGGCGACACAGCCACCTGTCACCTTCTCCTGGTTGCCCTTGGCAAGATGTGCTTTTGTGCTCGCTCTGTCAACCCGAGCTCTGGTTCCATCGTCTCCCTTGCGAAGGCGTCTTTATCCGTTCTGCTTCATCCTGCTCTACTGTCTGTACATCGGTGGGTTCTGGCGCCAACGATTGCCAGTTAAACTGAACTTGCCACAGCCGATATTGTCCTGTACTGCTCCCGATTGGGAGCGGGCTTGTGTGGCCATGATAACTACATCCATGTTATCCTCCTTTGCATTATTGTCCATCCGTTATCCTATTTCATCTTCCTCTTTGCCATTACCACCTGCGACAAGCTGGAGGATTTGGGAAAGCTGGGCGAGTTTCTCCTCAGTCTGCGCACTTCTCGAGGTCTGATGTTCAACGCCTTTTTAAATGTGAGTCGTCGTCTCTGAAACGCGCCGAATTGTTTACACGCAATCAGTCCTGTGAAATGTCTCGGGACAGGTTCGAAAAGCAAGACCATTGCAACTGCGACAAATGTCTGACCGATAGCTCTGTTGTTGCACAGTCCACTGAAAAGGGAGAGCCTACGACCAACAAGGCAGAAGAAGCAGTTTAATTGAGCATCAATGTTAACACTACTTTGCTGCTCCTCCGATATAATTTCTCTTATAAGCATTTGACAACTCTCGGACAAAATCCACTGAGAAGGCGGAGCCCGTGACCAACAAGACAGAAGAAGCTGTAAAATTAAACTATTTGCGTTTCCTTTTTATATTCCTTTGCAATCCGGTTTGTTTAGGTGGCTAGCTACAAATCTCAGTCCTCTAGTCGATACGACGCGGGGAACGAGGGACAAGTGCCCATAAGAGCGGAAAACACGCCATCAAGCTAATGATTCTGCGACCAAGTCAATGATCGCTCATGTTGGTCAACGAACTCACAGAGGCTGTAGTGCTTTGATTCCTGCTTTACTCGCAATTGCGCCGGTAATGAAGGGAATCATCGCGCTTCCTGCCTGGCCAAAGCCAGCAATCCATCCAATAGACCCGGAGAGAAGCCGTCTCGGTACGAGACGCGCGGTTCTGTTCATCAGGATAGGGTAGACCGGCCCGAGGAACATCCCCACGAGTGCAACTGCGATGGCACCTCCAATAAGGGAAGGAACAAGCCAGACAACAAGCTCGAGCCTGGGATTACTTATTAGCATCAGGAGCTGACAAATTTCACAACCTGTACCCGATAATGAGTGCTGTATACAGGTAGAGAACGTAGTATTCTCCGAGCTGAGAAGAGTGAGTGATACTTGGGTGTGTGTTTCAACCGGCTCACTGCCTTGTTTAGCCAGAGTAACGCGACACGGCCAATCATAAGGCCTGTTTGCTCTTTTAGAAGACATTCATAGCGAATCAAGAGGGAGTACCAACCCGCGAAAAATCCAGATGACACGTAGCCTGCGCTATGGCCACCCCCACGAACATCAATCATATAGGTGGTAATCCATCCTACCAAGCAATTTCGGTGAGCTGGGAACTACGGTTGGTTTGAATGACTGACCGCCAATGGTCACTTCAACACCAACATAAACAAGAGTGAAGAAAGCCAAGAGATGTACTGCTCGCAGAGAAAGGACTTGTCCAAAGTTGCTCCTCTCGCTGGTTGCGGATGCGTCTTCTTGAGGCTGCTCTCCAACAAGCCGGAGACAGTCTATAGAATAGATATGGTCATTACCCATACGTTATATATGGATGTTTGAATAAACCTTCGAGATTGCGAAACTTGAACCTTGTGGCGAGAATCGTGATGTTCAAGATGGCCAACCCAAGCGAGACAAGGTAGTGGAATGACCAATGTGAACTGGACACAAACTGGGTTGCAATCAGAGGAGAGGACAACGCGCCGGCACCTAGTCGAAACAAATGTATGTGAAAACTGAAAGGAAGGCTTACGCATGGCGCACCATAGCTAGCATGCAGCATGCCCATGTAGAGTTCCGAGTTTTTGCCCAAGCTCGCCACGTACGTGTTAGTCTGTGCATTCTAACCAATCGATTCAGTCGAAATATTCGGCGCAGCTGTAAGCTCAACTTGAACCGCGTTTCCAAAGCCATTTATGCCGAAAGATAGAATGAAGAGAGGGAAGGGTGGTGCAGGAGCTTGAATCGAATAGGCGACAACCTGACAAAGGGCGCCTACATACGTCTGTTGAGTGACGACGAACAACCAGAACATGTAGTGAAGTAGAGACCCAGAACAATCATTCGCCCGAAGCCTATCTTGACTCCCCAGTTGAGGTTGAAAAGAGCACCAGAGATAAAACCCTAGTACAAGTTGAAAAAATCCACGACGGCAAGCACCAGGTGGGACAAGGTAAACACACTGACAACACAGGCAACAACAAAAGTGAGGGAGACAAGCAAAAATCCAACCTGAGTAGCTTCAATATCAATGATGAGCAATTAGGGGCGTTGCCTACATTGTAAACAGTCTGCATTCGTGGAATCAAAGGTCCACTCGAGCCTATCTCACGTTCGGACCAGATAACCGTGCGAGCTTGCAAACAAACCATCGTTCCAGCCTGGCATTGTTAGGCAGAGCCACAATCCGATGAAGAAGAAGAACGCACCAGCAAGGAACATAGTGAAGTATATTGCGCATAGATTGAGGCGTGCTCTCCAAGGATGTGAATACCGATGATCCGACACGCTCAGGCTGGCCTCTTGCGTTGCCGGCGTTTGTGGAGGAGAAGGTCCGAATGCCTGGTCGACCTCGATGCCCATATTAGCTGGAAGAGCAGATGATACGGCCATGGTGTTGGTCTCGAGTCAAGAACCGTAAAATTGCGCGACAACTTGAAGAGGCGGCGTGCCGATGTCAATGCCAATTACGCTGAGGGTGGGATTTCTTCTTTTTAGAGCAGGTCTATTGGGGGAAGAGTGGGCATAGCGCGTCTCAACGGCTTTTACTGATTTTTATTCGTGCAAAGCTGAGTTTAATTCAACACCGGGTTAGTTTAGTTCATTGACAGTTCAAGCTTGGAGTTGTAACTAGCGTCGGGTCGATGTATGGCCGACAGCGATCCTGAGTTGTCTAGCCGGTTTTAGAGCGAGAATAATCGCATTATTCGCATCCAAGTTGTCTGAATTCGACGCTCAAAGCGTGAAGATGGAACAGAAGAACTGCGGCTTACATAAGTCAATCACGGTTACTTGCTTCCGTTCATAACATCGTCGCTGTCTGCACTGTTTTTTGCTCTCTTTCATTGTGGCTGACTCGCTCGCAGCTTTAACACCCTCGCCATGCCCTCTTCAGAAGACGATAAGATCGAGTCCGTCCCATTGACCTCTGTCAAAGACACAGACGAGGACAGTGCAGACGCCTCATTGCCCACACCAGTCTCTGCCCCTTCATCTTCAGCCAAAGCCAAGCCCAAAATCCCCGCGTTCGTCATAATTCCGATATGGATGGCTTTCTCCGTCTCAGTTATCCTCTACAACAACCACCTGTACAACGTCCTTGACTTCAAGTTTCCTGTATTTCTCGTAACGTGGCATCTCACTTTCTCCGTGCGTTCATTTTCCAACCGTATTCTCCACCCACTGACTTATCGAAGGCGATTGGGACGCGTGTGTTACAACGAACGACCCACCTGCTAGATGGGACGAAAGACATCAACATGAACAAGGACATGTTCCTCCGCTCAATTCTCCCAATTGGCTTGCTTTTCAGCGGCAGTCTGATACTAAGCAACTCGGCCTACCTATATCTCAGCATCTCCTACATACAAATGCTCAAGGTACGCCAACGTGGTCGCGACCATCGGCTGCTTATTCAAGCTTTTTGGTCTAGGCATTCAATGCAGTCGCGGTCCTCATTATCTCTTGGATCTTCCGCATCTCCGAGCCCAACAGGAAACTTGGGGTTATTGTTTTCATGATTTCCTTCGGTGTCGCCCTCACGTCGACCGGTGAACTCAAGTTCAACCTGCTCGGGTTTATTATCCAGGCGGCGGCGGTTGTCTTTGAGGCTTCGCGTCTCGTCATGATCGAAATTCTCCTCCACGGGATGAAGATGGACCCTCTAGTTTCGCTGCACTACTATGCCCCCATTTGCGCCCTTATCAATCTGCTCTTCCTCCCATTCACGGAGGGCCTGGCACCGTTCTACCAACTGGCACGTCTTGGCCCGCTGATACTCCTCAGCAATGCCTTCATCGCGTTCTTCCTGAACGTAGCGGCCGTCTTTCTGGTCGGCGTTACGAGTGGCTTGGTCTTGACACTCGCAGGGGTGCTAAAGGTTCGTTTACCCCCCTAAAAGTAACGCCACCAATTAACCTATTGCAGGATATTCTTCTCATCAGTGGCTCGGTTATTATCTTCAGCGCCGTAATAACCCCACTGCAGATTTTCGGTATGGTTCCGCTGTTTGCGTTGGTTAGTTTCTCAACTGCACTCAGGATATTCCATTGCTTTGGCTGGGCTCGTGCTCTTCAAGACAACAGGCGGCAAGTAAAGTTTTGTGCAGGTGCTTCTTCAGTTAGGATATGAACGGACTCGGGAGTTAGCGCTCCGACATAGATGGCATAAAATACATTTCCCGGCTGGCTGGCGGCTTATAGTCTATCCCCTTCACGTCTACGTTATTAGATACGTCTACGCAACCTTATCGTAGCGGTGTATTCAAGTTTGTTGTTACCAAGAATGACTACATTCACAGCGTCAAACAGCAAATTTCTCGGTTTTCTCTTGCAGCAAGTCGGTCGCCTGCCACGGTTCGCACTGGCCCTTGTTATCGCATGTCTGTTGAGCATCAGACGCTGTGGTTGCAGAGGTGTGAAACGAACCATCTCGCACGAGTTTCGGCCACGGATGCGCATGAAGAGTCTTCCCAATGGACCCAAGTCCGCGAGTTCATGACAAGTAGTGAGGGCAACAATGAGACTGCAGATGGCGAACGGAATGGTATATGTTGCCATCAAGGTGAGATCTACGTGGCCGTCCTCCATGCGCAGCGCGTAGTCCCATGCAGCGACTCCAGTAAGATGAGCAACGTTGTGGGCGGGATAGAAACGGTAGGCTGACCAATATGACTGCTGACCAGTGCACATGTGATGAAGGGGTACATGAATCGCATTTCTGTTTCGCCAGCACCGGGAGGTACTAGACACAGTGCGCAAAGCAGCTTGAGCCCCATCATCCAGTTGAGTTCTTGTTGTGGAAAATACGCCAGAACCAGGAGGGCGAGCAGGCGGTATGCGACGGAGATTGCGTATCTGTGGCGAGCACGACGAATGGAGGAGCTGCTAAGTTGCATGGTTGGCCGCCGAGCTTGTGGTTGAGTGTTGAACTACGGTTCCGTAGCTCCTGTCGCAGACTCAAAATGTTCATCTTGAGACACCAGAGGCCAATTGAGAGGAGCAGGAGAGGTGTAGCTCATTTTTGGTGTTGTAGGAGGGGAGATTTAATCGTGCAAGCTTGAGTAAAGAAGCCTGGAAGTGATTTTGGGCTGTGAGGAAGAAATGCACTTGCTGACGTCATCCCTCGGGTGACGAAGTTTTTCTTCCGCCAACCAGTGGCCAACGTTCCTCAATGAGTGCCAGGCTCCTACGGAATTCACGACTAATTGTCTCACGAAATGCCCTAATCAACATCCCCCGAGTCACCACGCCAATCCTGCGACGTTCTTATGCCTCTCCTTCCATCTCAACAAGAGGTGAAAGTCCATGGGCCAAAGCAGCTATATACAGTCTCGGCGCCGTAGGCGTAGGGTGCCTTGCATACGCAGGGTCTGCTTGTTCCTCAACCTAGGCTGTTCGCATTGTTCTAACGCGCGTCTTTTGTTCCGTCACCAGTTTCGACGCCTACGATTCATGGCGCAACATGTTTCCCGAGGAGGTCAGGCTGCCGTTGAAGCGTGGCATCGCAGCAAAGAATGCAGGGGACTCTGAAGGGAGCATTGCGCACAAACGGGAGTGAGTGCATATTGTTACTTGGCTGAATTCTTTCCTCTTGCTGATGACATTGAAAGAGCATGGGCGATTGCACGCACTCTACCAATATCGTCTTTCCAGCCGCCTGACCCTTATTTCAAGCTTACTGGGATAGCAATCGACCTGGCTGGAGAACTCGAGGAAACTGGAGACATAAGCGGCGCATATACCCTCTATTCTGAAGCCCTCGACAAGCTTCGCGAAGCGGACGGACTGAACACGCAAGAGCGGATGCGGGGTGTTGGAATCGCGTTGAAGCTGGGCTGGCTGGTCGAACAGTCACAAAGCGAAGAAGGCGGAAAGCTCGTTGTGAGCAAGGAAGAAGAAGAACGGGTGCGAGTGTGGCCCGTCCAGGAGGTTTTAAAAATTTCTCTGGAAGCGCAGCGACAATCCACTGGCAAGGAAGCTGAATCTGTTGACTTCGCGACGCTCCAGCTGCCAGAAGGCATGTCTAAAACCGATATATGCGTGCCGTTAGTCAAGCTGGGGGAGTTCTATTCGAAGCACGGAAAGCCACAGTAAGTCTTCAAGCTACTCATTGTGATGGCACAGATGAACCCTGACGACAGGTATGCCATGCCGCTTTATCTTCAGGCCGCAACGCTTCTTGTAGCCAACGGAGGTGCTTCTGTACCCCGAAATGACCTGTGCAACGGGGCGCGTATGATGAACACTATCGCGCAACTCGTCATAACAGCCCAACCAACTCAAGAAGGGCTCACCGCTGCCGAAACATGGACAGCGCGATCGCTGAATATTCTCAAGCTCGCCCAGGATCAAGCAAAAGGCTCTCCTACCGACGGGACATGTGAGACTGCCCTCGCAGTTACGCTGATAAATGCGGGCATGCTGCGTGAGGTATGCTTGACCGTCATCTCGTAGGGTCCAATATAACTGATAATATAGATGGCTGGGGATGGTAAACAAGCACACGACTTCTTGTCGGCAGCAATGAAGCAAGCCAAGGCTATAGGGCTAGAGGATGGCGTCGCTGAGATTCAGAAAGCCATTGACCGAGTAGCTCAAAAGCAAAAGGTCTAGACAAGGATAACTAAAAGTACATTACATCTAATTCCTAATACACAATTCACTGCTTTTGCAAATACCCCGTCCACCATTCCTCGAATAGCCCCAACCCCAGACCGCCATCCAGTGCTAGATCGTCGGTTTCTTTGGTGCCAAGGCGGCAATCTCGTGGACGGGTTGTTGCACCAGCCCCAGTAGGTGGTGCAGCATCTGGAATGATGTGCTCGTGTGGAAGCGAGAGGATTTTCGCAAAAATGAGACACATCTCGTATTTTGTAAAGGGCTCATCGCCCGAGTAGTGGAGAATCGTGGGTATCGGTGTCTTTGAAGCTGCGATGAACTTGGCTCAGAACACATCAAGCAGAAACCATTGAGTTTACCAGACAAGCGGACGAGGAAATTGGCAATATCGACGACGTTAGTCGGGTAGCGGGTGGCGTAGTGGTCCATCTTGTATGTCTTCCCTGACTGATCTTTGACAACGTCGACTAGAATGTTCACAGCCGAGTCTGAGTTGTTCGGCGCTGGGCCATATCTGGATTAGAGTGAGAGAGAGCAAGCATCGTCGCGACAAAAGCCAACAGAACAGGTACGCGAAGGATGGCGGCAGCGGCGCCTTGGACACTGAGAATGCTCAGCTCTCCGTCACGCTTCGTGCGGCCGTAGAGTTGGAGTGGGTTGGGGCTGGCATCGGGAGCGTATGGTGGGGAGGTGCCGTCGAAGACATAATCTGTGCTGATTAGTCTCGTTCGGGGATAGATGAGGTATTACCTGTTGAAATATAGATGAGCGTGAAATCCAATGATTTCGCGAGTTGGGCAAGGTGCAAGGGAACATCAGCATTGAGCTGTGTTGTCTTTTAGTTGAGGTTCAATAACAAATGCTCAACAGCACCTTTTGGGTGCCGTCTGGGTCCTTCTCAGCGACATCGGGTCTCCGCTCTGCCGCACAATGAATGACCCCTGCAAAATATGCTAAGTTCAAGGTGGTGGTCAGGTAATGTTGACCTCACAGTCTGACTTGAAGTCTCTCAGCGTGGATTCGAGCTTGTTTTGGTCCAAGAGATCAAGCTGCGTGAGGCCATTGCCTGATCGGGTGAAGGAAAGCGCTAGAACTTGAGCTTGGCCCTTGAAAGCGTTGCGGATGGCAGATCCAAGGACTCCTGACGCGCCTGAAGTGGTGGACGTAGTAAGGACCCTTAGAAGAAGCCAGTTGCGGGCACTCGCCAGTTATCACGACTTTGAAGGTCATCGCGAGAGTTGGTATTGTGTACGTAATTGACGTCAGCCAATCGTTGCACGTGCACGTGGATCCTCTCCACCTCTCTTTCGAGCTCGTTCAAGTTGGGCAGCACCGTTTCCAATGCCCTGAGATATGCCTGCCTGCTGTGGGTCTGGCCGAAAGCTATCCATGTGGAAGACAGCACGCGGGATAACATGCATTTATATGTTCTCCTCAATCGGTTGCCAAGTCGTCATCAAGTTCCCGGTGCAGACACCGCGCATTCATATTTCCTCGCTCATTTCCGACGCTATCGACGTCACTGCTGAAGGCTTGCCCTTGTGGCCACAAGATCTTCTTTTTCCCCACTCCAACCCCAAGCGCTTGATATGCTGCGAATGTCTAATAAAGCTGGGGGCCACAGGGGGGCCGAGGAGTAACGGGCCGGGTATTACTTTTAGTCGAATTTGGGTCACCGCTGGCTATAGGTTCGACGTCGACAAACACGGCGATCATGATCAGATATATTTGCCTCTGTGCCTGAAGACGCTGCGCAGTACCAAAAACCCTTACTTGCCTAGGGTCAAGGTGTGTTTCCTGGTCAAGAGACTCTGTAAACATGAGCGGACCAATAAAATCCAGCACTCTGAATCCCACTTGTGTCTAACTTGAATAGTGGTGCTCTTCCTTGCCGTCGCTTGCAAACTTACAGTTAGTTTCAGGATGCTTGATGGTGACTGGAGTAAGTAGGAAAAAAATTGCATCTTGGGTGGTGAGAATACTTTGCTGAACGTACCTCTTGGAATACGTCTTTCACTCGACAACATGCTGCTTGAAACTCAAAATAGAGCTTCTATTCCTCACGTTGGATCACCATTGTCGATAGCGCGTCTTGGCCTGGAAAATACGAGGGATTCAGGCTGTCCATTTTACCCTCGACCTCAACCTCAACCTGTGCTCTGCACGGTGGACACTTTTTGATTGTTTTGACTGATAATCACTGGCAGCGTCAATGTGATTGGGTAAAATAATACCTCCGGGCCAACTGTTGTCAGGGAAGACCATGAGAGCAACAAACCAAGATGTTGGTACCGCGCCCTCCGTCAGCTTCTTTTAGCATAACGGCTTCTGATGACTTCTATCCACTTCCCCTTTGGATAACCAGTCAACGTTTCCGCCGGTACTTATATTGTGGACGCACTCTAAGCGACAACCTTCCCTTCCCTTCCCATGGCGCCTCCAAGCAGTCTACGGAGTGTTCGCAGTACGCGGGTTCGCGCGCTCAGCGATGCTTTCCCTCCGTCGAGCATGCCGAGTCTCCCGACCCCCACCACTCCCTCGTATTCTCATGTCTCCAGTTACCGGTTGGTTATATTTATGGTTTGCCTGCTTCGCGAATTTGACTCGGATGACGCAGTTCTCTGCAAATGGAGCTTTTGGTCTACTCGCCGAGTGTAAAGGTGGTCTCGAGTCCCTGGAGCACCAACCACACTCTTCCGGTCTTTGGTGATCACGACGTCGTTGGGGGGAAAGTCATTTTGGACCCCAGCTGCCAGTCTGGACGGCTAATATTGACGGTATGTGCAGTCCGTCGCCCCCCACTGCGGTTGTGTTGATTATATAAAAAGATCGAAGGCGCGTTCACGTACAACTCGACAGAGAAAACGGAAAACAATACTCCATCTTATGAGTCGTGCCCTGAGAAGAAACGACATGTCTTTTTCTCTTCCTCAAAAGTCATCCAAATCTCTTCGTCTGACAATTCGCCGCGTTCTGCGTTCCGTGATGTCTTCGTCCTGAAACGAAGGCCAAGTGGGTCCAGTATCAAATCGATGGTACTTGAGCCACGCGTTCATGGGTTCTCGTTCGATCTTCCACGGAGTCAACGATCAGGGGAAGAGATGCCGCCCACCTTTTCCTACTCGGATCCTAAAAGTGCGCCATTCGAGGTTGTCTATAAACTTTCCGCTCTTTGGGAGTCATCGGACATCACCGAAAACCCTTCATTGTGCGTCATCTAGTTGCTGAAAGCGTGTTTTCTTCTGACTGGTGCTTTTGCAGTCTCGATGTCCCAATTATCATGCATCAAGACACCGACTTCCACTCGGTTGATGTCAAGCCTGACAACTCGACCTCTTGGTTAGAGATGCCGCTCAAATCTGATAGGCCCACCACTTTCCGTTGTGCTGTGAGTATCATTGAGTTGTGGTCTTTGATCTGTTCTGAGAAAAATCCAGGTTACATTACCGACGTCTGTCACTTTCTCTCGCGCTGCCTCTATTCCATTCTTTGTCGTTTTCACCACGACGCCACGATCTTCGCCACTTGCTCGCGAAATTGCCGCCGACGCGACCATTTCTATCACCGTCTTCTCTCAAATAACCATCACAGAGCCTGCAGTGTTGCCCATCACTCCGCCACAGACCCCACAAAGCGAAGAGTCGTCCTCAGACTCCTCCTCGTTCCATCAAGGCTCCAGATTGCTTCGTCGAGTCCGCTCCCGCCAATCACCATGGTCAGCTCGCTCTACGGAAGATAGTGAAAAGGACAAACCACTCCCGCGCCTCCCAACCCAAACCGCCTTCACCACTACTCAGACGATCTATAACGGCATTTCCATTGGGTTCCCCAAACGCCCACGACATCAACATGGGCCTGAAAAGCACCCGTCACTGCACGCCCATCAGGCACTCCCTGACGGCTTATATAAGTCCAAAATTCCACTTGATCGTGAAATGCTCCCCAGCATAGACTGGGCAAGCGTTTCCGTCAAGTATTATATGGACGTTTCTGTTCTCTTCGGCCAGGAGGAACTACGCGGGCGCGTCCCTCTGCGGATAATCTAATAAAATCACCATCGCTGCTAGTCACCACATTCGTTCTCGTCCACTGCTCATCGTCACACGCACTCGTTTGGTATTATTATTGCTTTGACTACTACAGCCTGTATCATTTGTATAGTTCGCATACGCATTTAGATTTAGTCTTCAACCCGGAATACATTTTGCATTATTTGACTCTACGGGAATTGCCTTTTCTGGAAGTTCGTGACCGGAATTGTTTGCTCCCACTCCCTCACTTGCGCCGTCGTCGATGGAACGACCCTCGTCAAGATGGCAGATAATGCCGGACGGGAAGACGTTCTATAAACGACAGCAACTCTACGCGATTCCCGGCAAGCTGCCCAACCTCAGTGACTACATCGTGGCCGGATGCCGCTATGGTGGTCCTATAGGTGATTCATCTCAATGCGTGCCCCGCAGAGAGTTCACCAACGGCTTTACAGCACTCATGCGCGACCATACGAAGCTCGTGGCGCTTGGCCGGACGGGACCTATCAGCACGAAAGCACAAGTCCAAATATACTCCCCTGCCGGCGATGGATTATTACTCTTCACTGTGGATATTCCTCTATTCTCCTTGAAAAGAACGCGCCATTTTAATAGTACTTTAGTGGGACCAAGGAAAAATCATACGTTTCGGCTGGACGGCGGACGAGCGACTTGCAATTCTCAATGAAGAGGGCATATACCGATTGTACGACCTACAAGGCGACTACCAGCAATACTCACTGGGCAGCGAAGCTGGAGAGATGGGTGTCATTGACGCGCGGATTCACGATAACGGACTTGTTGCGCTGACTGGCTCGTTAATGTTGTTGGAGGTCAAGGGTTGGGAGGGAGCTCGTCCTCTGACTCTGGCTAACCCTGGTGAGTATCCGTCGAGTCTTTGCATTTTTATGATACCAAAACTCAACTAGGTCTCTCACAACCACCCAATTCTTGGGCTGTCATACCTCCCGACTTGAACATTTCCCGACACGTCGAAGTCCTGCTTTCTGTCGACTCCACAATCTTCAGCGTCGATAACCTCGAAAGCGTAGACCAGCGCCTTTCCCATGGTCCTTTTACACATATATCTCCCGCTCCCAACGGCAAATCCCTTGCCTTGCTGAACTTCAACGGAACACTGCTTGTTATCTCAACCGATTTCCAGCGCACGCTGGCCGAGTTCAAGACAAAGGATGTGGTCGGGGCCCAAGGTCCTGTCCGTCAGGTTGAGTGGTGTGGCATTGACGCGATCTTGGTTACTTGGGACAATATGGTTGTGGTTGTTGGACCATTTGGAGATACCCTCGAGTAGGTCAGCTCATTCTTCACAGCCCCAGCACAACACTAACATCAATTCGTAGATACTACTATACCGGACCCACTTTTGCTGTTACTGAACCTGACGGCGTTCGTGTCATTGGGCCTGAAGTCTGCGACTTGATTCAAAAAGTCCCGTGTAAGTTTATTCCATCTGCATTGTTTGCGTACTAATTTCTTCTTAGCTGCTTCTACGTCCATATTCCGACCTGGATCGACTTCTGCTTCAGCCATTCTTTACGACGCATGGGAAAGCTTCTCGCAACGGTCTCCCAAAGCTGACGAGAATATCCGGAGTATCCGTCCAGAGCTCGCCTCAGCAGTTGACGAATGCATCGAAGCTGCTGGTCAGGAATGGGAGCCCTATTGGCAACGGCGGCTTCTCAACGCTGCCAAATTCGGTCGAGGCTTTCTCGATCTTCACAATCCCACCGACTTTATTAACATGGGACAGACTCTGAAAGTGCTGAATGCTGTGCGATTCTTCGAGATAGGGATTCCTCTCACATATCTACAGTAAGCATTTCCTGCAATTGCCATTGTCGACCAACTCAACTCGGTTGCTTCAGATACATCTATGCGTCTCCGTCACATCTAATTACTCGACTCACAGCAAGAAACATGCACCTTCTCGCGCTCCGAATATCCACGTACTTGTCCATGAAACCTCACGCAGTCCTTAGACATTGGGCTTCTGCTAAGATCATGCGTTCGCGGCCTTCGGCGACTGGCACTGGCGGGGATGGGGACCTTGGTAGCGGTGATGAGGAGGTTTGCAGAATGATTGTCGAGAAGTTTGAACAACTGGGCGGTGGCGATGTTTCCTACGCCGAGATCGCGAAGCGGGCTTGGGAAGTTGGTCGAGGGGGCCTTGCTACCAAGGTATGCTGCTTCTTATTTTTGACTTTCTAATCAGCTGGGTTGTTTAGTTGTTGGATCACGAGCCCAGGGCGTCAGACCAAGTTCCGCTTCTTCTGAGTATGAAGGAGGATCGACTTGCTCTCATCAAAGCTGTCGATAGTGGAGACACTGATTTAGGTGAGGCTTTAATTTGTAATAGTAGCGGATGCTCAGATTGTTGGCTAGTATATCATGTTCTCCTGCATCTCCACAAGCGTCTCCCGCTGGGCACTTTCTTCCGGCTCATCGAAGACGGCGGCTCGCAACTAGCACCTGCAAGTAGACTGCTTCAGGTTTATGCGCGCGAACAAAATAGGACGATGTTGCGTGACTTTTTCTACTCGGATGATAGGCGTGTAGAAAGCGCTGTCCTATCGCTGGACGAAGCAGCGACCATGCAGGTACTATATTTTCCTGCTGTCGGTTTGAAACACTTCTGAACGCTTCTTAGGATCCTACAGCAAAGATTGACGCGGTACGCGCAGCTCAGAAGTTCTTTTCCGAGGACAAGGATCGGAATTTTGAATCCAAGGTACGAGCTACCTGCAACTCCGGAATTTTTATATAGCGTGACTCTAGATGATGGATGAAAGTGCGCGGCTACTCGCGCTGCAACAACAGCTCGAGAAGGAGGCTGACGGCAAGGTCGCGTTCTTTGGGTTGAGCATCAACGAAACAATCCGGGCCTGTGTCACCAACAACCTCGCCAAGCGGGCTGATAAGATCAAAACGGACTTTAAGGTGCCCGACAAGCGGTGAGTTCTCTTCTTTTCTGGCGCTGTCCCCGCTCACGTGTGTGATGACAGATTCTGGTATGTCAAGATGCAGGCGCTGGTAGCGGTCGGCGACTTTGATGGTCTAGACGCCTTCGCCAAGTCGAAACGCAGTCCGATTGGCTATGAGCCATTTGTTCGTGCGCTCGTGGACGCGGGTCATCCGAAGGAAGCAATACCGTTTGTGGGCCGATGTGATTCGCCAAAACGTGCAGATCTGTATGTTGAATGCGGAGACTGGCGACTAGCAGGGAAGGAGTGTAAAGAGCGGGGGGACAAGGCTAAGCTGGAGTCAGTTTATTCTCACCCTTTTCCTCGTTCTCATTTGCTTCTTTCACAGAGCGATCCGCCAAAAGTGCCCCAACTCTTTGATTGCTCGCGAGTTGGACCAGTTATTAAGTTCAATGAAGTAGGTAGTACAGTGTGTTGTCGACATTGGTTATGCATCCTTGGTGTCAATTTCCGACCCTTCATCGTCTTCCTCCACATCCCTTCGCGTCGCATATGGCAGCGGCACCTCTCGGGTCGCCCGGTACTGATCAGCATTACCGATTTGCTCATTCTCGAGTCGATCTGCCAATGCACTCAAGTCAGTGTACAGTCGGTGGAGCATGGCCGCATGGAAAGCTCACAGAAATTCCACTGCCAGCGGCGAACTAGTAAATGCAATGAATAAAGATCGAGTGATATGCGGACCGTCTTTGCAAATTCAACTGACCTATTTCAAGCACGCCGACAATAAATGACCGCAGCATGGCGTCAGGGCCTCCGGCGGGGATGTAGAGAATCCAGAGAAAGCGGAGAAGCGTGTTGAGGACCTATTGTTGTGATCAGTTACCGCTCCCACGAAAAGACAAAGTCTTACTATTGCTACATAGTACAACTGCCAATGTTTGTCCAGAAGATGTCACAGAACTTGGTGGATACTCACCGACGTGTGCGTGTAAATAAGGTCTTGCCGAAGCAGTTTGTGTCGCACATGTAGCCGCAAAACCGACCAGTCCATCAAGAAATCCTGGTTTAAACTGAGCACTTGGTAACATCAGGCGAGAAAAGCGAACCCAGGCCAATGCATATGATGTCGCAAATGTGTTCGTGATAATCCACATAGCAAACGTGGCGTCGTAGTGACTGCCATGATGCCTCCAAAGAATATAACAGAACTGCGCCACACAACCCGCTCCATATTTTCCAGCGTTGATGAGATGCGTATGGACTTTGGAGTCCGCATAACGCTTGACACTTTGAACGAATCGCACGAGAAAAGGAAGGATCGCGAGGACGAAATTGAGCGGCCACAGATTTGACGAGTTGCCGCATTTTCTCCAATCCGAGTCCAGACCGTGCGAGTAGACGCAGACGACGAGGGGGATATTCGAAAGTGGAAAAACAAGGCTGCAGAATTGGTCCCTGAATACGTCGTTGTCAGCGCATGGGAGGGTCAAAAATTAGCATAGTTACCCCAGCCAGAAGTCGGTGAACTAATGGCAATGACGTCAGAAACGGAGAAATATAACAATAGGGACCCTCACCTCGACGCGACGAAGACCAGAACGTAGCAACTTGGCAGTGTTCTTGATCAACCAGTAACGAGACGATTTGAAGAGCAACGGAAACGGGTCGATGAGAAGAGCAGCCGTACATCCTAGCCATATGGCCGGCCATAGTGTTGGTGATATCATTGGGGCTCCGGTTCGCGAAAACGACAACCAAAATGCATAAGAAAGGCCAGCCAGAAGCACACTGGGGAGCTGTGATAATTTGGTCAATCCACAAACGCCCGAGAACGACTACCACAAACCTGCCAGTACTCGCGGTGGTCTAATCGAGTGCGCAGATCTAGCTCAAATATGAAAGTATAATTTATGCGGTTTCGAGACCATGCCTTGACACGTTAGCAATACAAGACACGACCACGTGATATATAGCTTACCAAAAGATTGAAGCCAATGAGGAGAGCAAAGAGAACTGGAACGAGAAAGACGCCAAATATAAACAACAAGCCATCCCATCCCGGGATGCTGTCTCGCGTAGATTTTTGTGAGGCGTATGCAACGCCTGATCCGAACGCGGCGAGAGCTGATCCGATCGCAATCCCACTGCAAAATGTGCTGTTGTGGTGCGATTTGTACTGAATTCCAGCGCGCAAACGCTGAAAAGCTTTTTGCGTGCTTCCGCGTTCAAAGGTGACAGCATATATGTGTTGCAACTCCTCCATCATGACCCGCAAAGTATCGTCAGAATAAAAAACGGTTGGTTCAACCTAGGATGTGGATTAATTAGCTCCTGATTCCACCAGAAATGAGTACTGGTCGCCTTTTCTTCCATGTATGCTCGTTGAGCGGGAATCTTCGTTTGGTTAGCGGCGAAAGGTGGAGCCAGTGAATTAGCACACTGACCTTGGTCGTCTTTTCAAATTTGGCTAGAACCCTTTGGGTAGCATAGATGTTCAAAATCTACACTAATGCGTCAGAGCCAGATAGTAAACGGACCAAATCCGTCTTACTCGATAATTGTTCAGCATTCCCAGAGCCCTATCAATCGTAAGACCAGGCCAAAGTGCAACAGCTTGAACGCGAAGCACACCGGTAATGCTCCATGACTGCCTTTTTCAGTTTTCGTTTGGCCGCAAGATACTTTTCTGGATCGAGGCGCTCATCGAAATGCACCCCTTCGACGAATTCACCATGCGGCTTGCTGTCTGTCGAGTTTATTTCGGCCGTATTCGCCGCTGGTTTCGACGTCAAGTTGACCAGCGCACGTATTCGTGAGCTGAGCGGGTTTAACATTTTCCTCCACCCGGGGGAGGGCTCGGAATTAGCTGCCTAAAATGAACATTAGTACGATCATAAGAAAAACCCTGAAAAAAAATCACATCGAAACGCCTCCGATGCTCGTTCAGCTCGCGGAGTTGGAGCTCCAGCTCTTGGTTCCTGGTTTTCATGATTTTTTGCCGATCTTGATAGAAGGTTTCGACCTTGAAGACCTGCTCATCCAGCGCGATAAAGAAAGATAGTTCATGTGGGGACAATAAAGGCACAAGTTGGTGCATAGAAAGTTGGGCATAAGGATGTCTTCGTAAGGGATCAACTATTGACAGGCTGTAAATACCTGCCTGGCGTCATTCGAAGGTATGAAACTCACTCATATTCGAGACATTTTTGAAGATCCGACTCGTGGGGCTGAGGGGTGCGCCTGGGCTCGGTGGCGGCCGCGCTTGTGAGGTATTGGTCCATTGACGGGACACTACTCGATATATTTATTAGCGGTGAATAACTGGAATGGGCGAAACTTGCAGTGGTTGGAATTGATTCGTGCCAGGCGACCACCAGTTGTTACAGTCTCCCCTCCGGGGCTGGGAGGCACCAAATGAGATCGATTCGTCGGTTGACGGACAACTACCCCCAAAAAATGAGATTAACACAGTTACACAAGTAGAGTGAGGACATACCAAGCTGGGGTAATACGATACGGGGGTTTCGCGAGGCATTCCCGATGCCGCCTGGGCTCGGAGGTGGCGGGTTACTCTGTGAAGTAAGAGTTCGATGGAAAGATGGACGCCGATCTGCAAGGGGTGGACGGATACTGGGGCCACTGACGTCCAAACGCAGTCGAGGTGGATTCGGAGCAGCTTGAAAAGCGAGGTCACGCCTGCTCGTCTCCATCGGCATGTTCATCGAGAAACTCTCCTCCGACGAATTCTCTCCAGACTCTGATTTTATCACAGAGAGCATGGACGCAGCGCCGTGATGACCCAGCTGCGAGTTCGAATACGAGTCGACGGGATAAAGCGCGCCATCATGCATGGCTTGCCGGATAGCACGCAGTCGTTCTTTAAACAGTCGGTAGTCACTTTAGTACAAGGTCATTCGCACAAAAATTCAGGGAGAAATAGAGGGAAATGCACACATATAAGCTCGCTTCCACTCTGGAATCTGGATATGACGCGTCAATTCTTGGTCGCGTGAGTAGCACTGGGCACACACCTGAGTGTCTTCAAGGTATCTTCATCAACATCAGAGATGTTTCTGACCGCTTAGAAGGGAGGGCGGACCTGGTAAACTTCATCTTAGACTCCACGATCACAGAAAAGAAAACAGTTCGGTCGGCGTCGGTAGGGACGCAGACGCGAAAGATTCAATGGGCGCAGTTGCGGTTGGGGCTTTGCTGCTCGCATCTCCAGCGGAATTCATTAGTTTTATGGAGGTGGTGGCTTGCACGTTCAAGGTCAAGACGAAGTCTAAACGGATCACAAGCGTGGAAACCCGGAAATGAATGAAATCATTGCAACAGACTTGAAGCTTTACAACAATGAGGAGGGGAGCAAAAAAGCTGTAAAGCAGGCGCGACGAAGGGTATCTACACCTAAACTTCTATCGCACCTCGTTGCCGCCGCAAACTCAAACCACGTTGGGGCAGCCACCTGGGCGACATTTTTCTCTCAAACTCATCATCCCTCTCAGCACGCCGCTCGTCCAGCGAATAGGGCAAAGGCACTTCGCGTGTTGCACGGTACTGGTCCCTGTTACCGAGCTGCTCGTTTTCCTAGACACAGGATAAACACGCTGTAGTGAGCCACTGTGTGCTTCTTACCAGTCGATCTGCGTAGTTTTAATTCAACATGAAACAAAGAGGGAGTTAGGCGTACAGAAATTCCATTGCCAACGTCTCAGCATCTCACAGCAAGCGGCGATAAACGACCTTAGCGTCATATCCAAACCTCTATTGGGTATATAGATCACCCAAACGAATCTTAACAGGGTATTTGAGATCTGGGTAAAGGCCGTTAGTTGTGCTCTCGGGAACAACAATTTGAACAGTACAATAGCAAAGTAGTAAACCTTTAATGATCAGGACTTGAAAGACATCATAAGCAAATTGTACTCACGTAGACATGGCTGGAATATAACAGCTCCTTTCGCAGAAGCGGGTAATTCTCATGCAACTTGAAGATCGACCAATCCATGAACAGGTCCTGAGCGACATCAGCCAACTTTCGAAGTGGAAGAATGATTACCCGCCCATGAGCCCGCGTAGATGGAATAAAGCGTCTGAAAGAGACACCAAGTCATAAAAGTGGCGCCATATCCGCCCCGATGCCTCCATAAGAAGTAGCACAGGTATGCGATTATACCGCTGAAATATTTCCCAGCATTCACCAAGTGAGTACCCACTCCCGAGTCCGCGTAACGTTTGATGCTTTGTACAAATCGAATCAAGAACGGGAGGATGGCGAGGAAGAAGGATAGAGGCCAAAGACGCGATGTCGCTCCACATTGTCGCCAGTGACTATTGAAGCCGTCATCATACAGACAGCCCACAAGGTAGAGGTTCGAGAGGGAGAAGACGAGACTGCAAAACTGATCGCTGCCAAGAAATGAGTGACAAGCCAGAAGACTAAAATAAACAATACCCCATCCAGAAATCCGCGAACTACCGCAAGTGAGAAAGCAGCTAATGATGGATGAAGGACAGCCTCACCTCTACTGGCCGTGTCCCAGATGTCATCAGTTTACCGAGAGACCGAAGAAACCACCATCTTGACGGTTTGAAGATGAGTGGAAGCGGGTCCAACATTATGACACCAGCGAAACCGAGCCAGACAAGCGGCCATATTGTCGGGTCTACGGACGGCGCACCGATTTGAGCAAATGAGAGCCAAAATGCACCACAAAGTGCTGCAAACAGTAGACTGGGTATCTAAAAAAATCAAAACGCGCACACGTGATATGAGATGATTACCTCGAAATATTCGCGATGATCCATTCGGGTCCGCAGGTCGAATTCTGATTATAATGAGCATAAAAACGCAGAATGCACATGTGTACCGAAGATGAACACGTAGTTAATTCGTGTATTGGACCAAATAAGCACATTAATGCCCACCAAAAAAGAGAACACGACAGGTATAAGAAATGTCGCGTAGACTAATAGGAGAGCATCCCAGCCCGGTATGGCGTCCCGCGTGGCTTGTTGATAGCCTAAAATAAAGTCAGCCCATCAGTGACATCGACAAAAAGGACCGACTGTAATATAACCCAGACGCTAATGCAGGAAGAGCAAGTCCGACCAAAAGCCCAGACCAAAACGTGCTGACATGGTGGCTCTTATGCATCGGGCCAAGTCGCAGCCTAGATCAATATGATTGAGACCAGGGAACGTGACCGTAGAGGAATAAGGAACCTTTCCAACGCCTTTTTCTTGTCTCCGTGAGCTATGAAGGCGAATTAAACACAGATTACTCCGTTGATAGCCACTTACTGAACCGTATCGCATACATGGCTTCCATCTTGTCCATCATTACCTTCAAGTTCTCCTCCGCTGAAGCAAACGTTGTCTTTTCCACCTAAACAGAATGAATCGTAAGTCATTGTTGGATTCACTTGTGAAGGAAGTCGCCTTTTCACTATTGTACGCTTTCTGAGCCGAGATCTAGAAGGCGTTACCTGACCGAGCTACGCGTTCAACGTAAATATACCTTTGTTATTTTCTGGAATTTCTTCAGAGCCTTGCGAATACCGGTCAGGTTCAAAATCTGGCAGCTCGTATCAGTAGGAAAAACAGTGAGAACGGCCAACATACGCGATAATTCTGGAGCATTTCAAGACCACGGTAATGTTCCATAACGGCTTTTCTCAGTTTATGCTTTGCATCATGAAAGTCGCTCGGATGTAGCTGCGCCGTTCCTGGCGTGTGCGCTCCAGTAGCTGTCGTTTGCTCTGGTAGGGACAAATTGCTTGTTGAGAACGCGGGAGTTTCGGCTGCTTTGGAGCTGCCGTTGTAAACACCCTTCCCCTTGTCCTTGGAAGATGCCGTTTCCGCGACGCCGTCCTGAAGTCGCGTTTTTAGTTTGAGTAGAGCGTTTGCGTTAAGAGCTGTTGACCAAGCGCCAACAGAGTGGGCAGCCTTTGTCTACAGTTAGACGAGTTACAAGACAGCAATATGCCCATACATTGAACAGTTTTCGATGCTCATCCAGTTCGGCAAGCTGTTGCTCCAGCAGATTCGTAAGAAGTTTCATGTCATGTTCACGGGCTACATAGAATTTTTCGATCTTTTCGACTTCGGCATCAAGGGTCGTAAAGAAGGCCAGTTCGAGGGGCGATAGGAGGGGCAAGAGTTCACGAAGCGGGAGATCCGAGTATGGATGTGGCTTTTGGCCACCGACTATACACATTGGTGAGTGAGTGAATGGCCGGATATTGGGCACGGCTTACCGAGGAGAGTGATCCTGCGAGAGAGCCTCGAGTTGCTTGACGAAAACATTCGTGTGAAGGAAGCAGTACGTCGCGCGCTGGACCCAATCGACGCAGGCATGGTAGTAGATCGGTGAAATGGGTCTCGGCGTTGCGACGACTCTCCCGGGAAGTCCGGAAGCGAGTCGTTCAAGTTGGTCGGAGGCTGCTGCCCTTCGGTCGATTTGGCGACGGACAGACTCGAGCGAGGCGAGTTGGGTATATCTGTCTGCGCAACCGAGACTTGCGATGGGACAGTCAAGTTCGTGTTGATTCGTGAGGATATAGGGGAGATGGTTTGCTCTTGGGAGGCCATCGCGCGTCGAATGGCGGTAATCCGCTTCTTGAGCAGTCGGTAGTCGCTGCAAGTGCGCTCATTAAGAATCCGAGTTCCGGAGATGGGGCTTGCCACATACATATAGGCCCGTTGCCATTCGGGCGTCTAAACGCGGAAAAAAAAAGTCAACTCGCCATCATACTTCGCTGTGAGATGATATTTACTTGTGCATCTTCGAGGTATCTTTCAGCGCGATGAGAGCCTAGTTGCAGCAGGTACAGAGTACACACCGTGCAAATTTCATCGTGGTGGCGGTTGGGTATAGGCGTCAGCACATGATCCCAAAAAGGCAACGATGACGATCGGTTAGCCACAACTTCTCTCCTTCTTCTGCTTCTTGCTTCCCTTCCTCCCTCCCATGTCGACAACCAGGCTTTCTCTTCAAGCAACTGCATAGCTGATCAATCACTTGCAATATTTCGCGTCACTCAAAGACGGCAAGCGGGTTTCCATAAACCATGTCAACGCTTAATGTAAACCCTCTAAATCCTGGACCATGTTCCTGGCCTGAAGCTGTGCTCGAAAGCCACCTGTACATCTTGGTGGCTCACCCCGACATTAATATTCACCGACAAGTGTTTCAAGTCTCTGTCTCGATGCAGTATCAAGCAACCTCAGCTTCCAAAACACGGAATATAGCCCGTTCCTGGCTCGCGTCTCTGACACTGTGTGCGACGAATACCCGCGACAGTGACACAAACAATTGCTCGAGACTGCAGGACTGGACGCCGCCGTCCAAAGGGTCCTGGCAATAATCATAATTCCCGTCAACATCGCGTTCTACGTGAAGTCCAGCGCCATGCCAAGCCTACCTCCCGCTTTTACCTGAGTTAGAATTGAATCAGCCAAGGTACCCCAGCTGCCCCGCGCAAAATGAAGGTATTCACTTTAGATGTTTCGCCGCGGCAAGTTTTCGGAGAGCTAGTCTATCCTCATATGGACAGGCCTACACTATGTGTATAAAAGCCCGCCTAAAATGCAGCTTCAAACCAACCTAGCCGCCATGAACCCCACCACCTTCAAGCTCTTCTCTCTCCTCGTCCTACTTACGGGTGTGCTCGCGGCTCCTCAGAGCACTGGCGACGACGCCGGCGTTCCTCTCTACGGCACTTGTAAGTCTTTTTTTAGACGACTCTTGTTCGTCTCCTCACTTGGAACTAGGTGGAACTATCATCGGCACGGTGCGTTGACCATTGCTTCACAGTTGTCGTCGTCGACTGAAACTTCTCTAGCAACCTTGTGAGTCTCTTTTGCTCTGGGTATACCACCTGACAGTTTTGTAGGTGCCAACAAAGACGCTGTCTGCTGCTATATCAATCCAGACAATGGAATGTAAGGCAATCTTGTCGCTTGGATTCCAAATTCTGATTACCTGGCTTTTAGTTGTCTCCCAAAGAAAGTGTGCAAGGCCATCCAAGGGTTGTAGAGAGAGACAAATGTATTAGTCATGATCATGAACAGATGTGCAGAAGTTCAAGGAGAGCAAGGGGTAGCGATAGCAGCAGCAAAAAGAAGGGGAAAACAAGCAATTTGTACGGCGAAAGAGATGAAGAAATCAAGTTTTTTGTGAAAGCATACGTTGCGTATTTTTTGGTGCTGTACATACCATAAATGATCCCAGCCTCCCCACCCGCGACACTGCTTGTTCATCACACAACGCAACCCAACAAAGACGGTTATTTATTTGTGGGCTGGCCAACACCCCGGCCTGCACCGCGTCCACGCCCTCGGAAGTCGGAACCACCACGACCACGGCCCTCTCCAGCACCACGTCCTTCACCCATAGGTCCACCACCCCGGGGCCGACTGACAGGTCGCTCGTTTCGCTCTTTTCGCGTCTCAACCGAGATCCTACGAAAAAGCAAATCAGCAAAAAATGGAAACAAGACAATTGAAAGCTACCTCAAGTTTCCGCCTTCGCCACAGTCAATCCAGACACCACCTTCACCGCCCTGGGATGGCGGCAGTGAAGCTACAATGGCACGTCGAGCCGCATCGACTGTCGTGAACTCCAAAAAGGCACAGGCCTTGCTGCGGACTACGTCGACTTCTTTCAACGGGCCAAACTGATTGGAGAGATGGTTTGTGAGTAGCGTGTTGGAAATGGGATCGACGACGCCCTTGACAAAGCAGGCAGCTGTTGTGATACTCATTGCAGCAGTGTAGTTGGGATGCTGGCCTTGAGGGGCAGGCGGAGGAGCATGACGCTGTTGGGGAGGGGGTGCTGGCGATTGTTGTACTGGCGGAGTTGGCGCTGATGAGGCGACTTCGGTAGTACCACGCGAGTCTTGAGCGACTGCAGCACCCCATTTCTTTGAGTTGGCAGCTGCCAAGTTGGCCCATGTTTTTGGCTGAGGCGGGGCAGCAACGGGGGCAGGCGCAACTGGTGCAGTCGTCGCTGGTGGCGGTGCAGCTTGAACTGGGGCTGGGGAGGGAGTTGCAACAGGTGGAGTATGAACGCCGTTTGGTTGTGGAGTTGTGGGCGCTTGTTGTTGAACTGGCGCGGGCGGTTCGGGTGTTGCAACCTTTGGAGGCGGCTCAGGAATTGGTTCAGGCTCTTCTTCTACAGGAGGGGGAGGAGTCGGCTCGCGCTCTGGCACCGGTGGCGGTGGTGGCGGAGGAGTCGGCTCACGGGGTGGCTCCGGAATAGCGACAGTGATGGTCTCGACGACTGCAACGGGCTCAGCGTCAGCAACGTCGCTCGCTTCGTCATCAACAGTCTCCTCCTTCAGGAACCGGAAGATATCGTTGAGGACAAAGTAGCCGTTGGGCTGCTCAGCCAGGAAAAAAGTCTGCACGAATTTTCGCCATGGGTCAGAGCGATTCGACATTTCACCGATGACCTGGATGATAATGCCCCCATCCGCAGATGACTGCGCGTCAACAGAGTGGATGAACACTTTGCAGTCCTGGAACCCAATTGCGGTGATCTTTTGGTGGATTTCCTGTCGTATGTCAGCCAAACCAACAACGACGCGTCATACGCCCTCACTCACCTGTTGCCCGAGACAAGGTTTACCGTCGTCGCCCTCAGTACCATGCATAAAGGTGGACTTTTTAGTGTAGAATTGGTGCAAACGGTCGGGTTGTTTGTTAACAAAGGTGTAATATTGAGGAACGAATTGCCATCCGACTTCGGAAGGATTGACTGAGCGGTGCGCGGGAGAGGTCATGCTAGTTAAAAACGCGTGAGTAGCTGAGAATGAGGCTAGAAGGATGAGCGCACATGAATTAAAGGAAAGAGAGATTCTAGGGAGGTAGTACAGCGTAGGAGCAGCAAAGCAAAAAGGTCACGCACTGTCACGGCTGATTCATCCCCTCCCCTCCAATCAAGAGCGACGGACCTTACAGCTTTGCGACAGCCTCAAACACTTGGAAGTGCGAAATGCGAGTCAAGCACATGTAACAATACGCTCTTCAGTCCATTCTTGTGGGAGAATACAGAATGTTGTCAATCAAGTCAGCGACATAACTCGATTCCTCAAACGCAACATTGCATCTTGTTTACTGTTTCCGAATACATCTGCTGGATCCTTTCTAAATTGTAGGCTGAACCTATCGTCAAGCTTATGCAGCAAAACGTGCCAGTCTTTCCGGCAGACAAGCCACTACACAAACCTCCCGCATGAACTCGCGTCTTTCCGCATTTTCTTTGATCAGCAAATCCCAGGCAAGATTCTGATATTCGCGCAAAGGAAACTCGTACCCCTCAGCCTCTCAAGCGATAGTGCCTCCGTTTTTGCGACCATCTTCTCTTCTGAGCCAACTCCAGCAACGCAAGTACATCGCTTCCGAGTCTGGTCTAGCTGTCATAGGTACCGCTGCGCAACTAATAAAGCACTTAGTTCCAGCTTCGCTAGAGAGTTGTTGGAGCGATATTCAACCCAAAACCTTTCATTACCCTCGAACAAGGAAATTTTGCGCCTTCAAAAAACCCTCGAAGGTTGGTCGGTTACTCTACTCTTTGGTAGACCTGTATGCCCATTGTAGGATCCAGAAGCTCTGTCGTTTTTGTTATGGTTGATGAACGGCTGTTAAATCTCGCTCGCTTTTGGGATCCAATATGTATGGTACTTACTTAAAATGCAACCCTAACGTAGTCCTCCTTCGAGAGTGATAAATATTTTCGGCGCACAATTGAATTGAAGAAAAAAAAGTCCTCCTCAGAATGCCCCCGATTTGCCGTGCAATAACTTCCATCGACGGATCAAAGCGTTAGAGATCATCTCGAGACTCTTCTCTTGTCTACCAACATTGCACAGTCTCCAGACAGTTGGCGACGGGTGCAGACCATTACCACTGCCAGTCGCTTTCTCCTCGGGTTGTTGCAGTGATAAGCCTGGAATGGCTCTCCCTCCTCGGTCCTCACCCAAATTCTGGACCATCTCGAACTCGCATGTCTGCCAACAACACGTCTGCTGCGATCCATTGACTTGGTGGTGACGCGTCGACGCGTCGAAAGGGCCTCCAAAAAGAGCTTAGCGCCCCGGTCTTCAACTTCTGTTGCTGACCAAACAAGCTTTTGGATTTTCCGCGTAGACTTTGAGGGTTCCACCCTGACTTTCCTTCCTTACGACGCCAAACAAGGCGGGAAACTGGAGAAGCGCTCTCACGGATGCATGATGTCGTCGAATCAGAAGTCGAAGCCTGAGTTATTCCTTGCGCCTATTTAGTCCGAGCTACTGCACCTAACTGGTCTCTCTACTTTCCTCCAATATGGCTTCCCCTCTCTGCGTCACCCCCATCGTCTTTGACTGCCCTCCTGCTGAACATGACCCTCCTGGCCGCGTCCTCAAAATGTCCGCGAAATGGTACTGGACTGACGAGTCCTTGGCAAACGATGATGGCCTCAGTCTCTTGTTCGCCCATTGCATCGGATCGCGTGCGTCTATACTCCCCCAACTGTCAGTCTCCCTGGTCTGACCTTCCGCTAGACAAAGAACAATGGGAACCAATAATCGAATCATGTTTTGTGAACCAGCGCAGCAAGCCCCGACACCAACGCATCCGCGAAGCCTGGGCATTCGACTGGCAGTCCCATGGGGACTCTGCGGTACTCAATTGCGACCTGATAATGAATACGCGGCAGATGGGTGTCTGTAAGACCCTCTCTTTATCAATCATGCACAAGTTTTTTTTTACGCCATAACCAGCTGCGTTCGAATATGCTGCCGCTATCAAGGCCTTTGTCCGCTCTGCTCGTATGCAAGGAAAGCGAATGGTTGCTATTGGACACTCAGCCGGTGCCGCTGCGATGTGGGTAGATCCTTTTAATGATTCATTTCCGAGTCGTCTTCTACATGAAATGACGTAGCCACGCAGGCTGCTCGCCGCATCCGACCTCCCCAGAGCAGGCACTGCCTACCCCTACCAGTCTATCGTCCTCGTCGAGCCATCCCTCGCCTCGCCAAAGATGTTTTTCAAGCATATCTCCCCCCTCCACCCACCGCTTGTCGCAGCAACACAGATGCGACGCGCGAAATGGGCTTCGAGGGAGGAGGCTGCCTCATGGTTTGCCCAACGGCGACCATGGAAGGCTTGGGACAAACGAGTCGTCAGGACGTTTGTGGTAAGTTTGCTATCTTCGCTTCCCGCAAACGACTGATCATCTACTTTCTAGGAACACGGCCTCGTTGAGTCTCGCGGCTCAGTCCACCTTAAATGCGACCCGCGACAAGAGGCGCTTGCCTTCCCTGATATCGAGCCTCATTTCGCCGCCGTTGATGAGATGGGCCGAGTAAGCCGGGCAGTGCCCATCCATCTTGTGTGGGCTCGGAGAAGTGAAATACTGTAAAGCCGTTCCTGGCCCTGGCCTCGACCCCCGCCACTTATACTCTCTCACAGCTCGAAATCCGTGCAAGACGCATTAGTGGATGAGTCACTGGGCCGTGTTGCTGCCTCCGTTACGCGTGTCGATGGAGGACACCTCGTGAGTGTTCTTCTACTTCTTCTCCCGCGTCAGACTAAGCTTTTTAATAACTCAGGTCGTACAAGACAACCCCGACCTTGTCGCCCGCGTCATCTGTACTGCGGTTGACACTATAGGTGCCAATGCTGGACTCGACTTCGTGCCGGCACGCAGCAGGTTATGAGCCAACGACACACTAATGCTTTACGATCTTGGATTCACGAAGGATGGACATTAGCCCGCGTAGATACCTAGGACTGACACACAATGTATTACCTACATCTAAAAACATAGCAGCTAGTTTAGACTGCTTTGAGCACCAAACTTGGATGTTCAATCCGACTTTCTGGGTTTTTCTTGCTGACCAGCTTCGTTATCCTAGCTTTATCCCAATCGCGGGCGAACGACAGCTAACGACCACCGCATCGTTCTCCTATATCCTCGAGACTCGGGTCCTGAATCTTGCATCACATACGAGGATTTCCTGGCACACATTCAGTTCACCATGACTTCGTACATCAGGTCCAGAATAAGAAATGGTCAGATTTCCGTTCTTGACCTGCCACATGATATGTTGGCAGGCCGAGGGTTTCACAGCGGGCCTGCGAGGGCTCTCTCCAAACGTGAAGTTCGCATCCTTTGTGCCGACGGCAGCAAGTCGTACTCACCGTCATGGTCGGGATCCAAGCAGTCACGCGTTACTGGGTCGCGTGACACGCAGCAAGCTTAAGTAATGTTGCGCAAATCCCAATCACTTTCAAGCAGAGGCACTTTAACCCAACTGGTCCTTGCGACCTTTCATACATGCTACAATACTATGAATCTCAGAGATATAGAGCTAGGGGCGTTTTAGTCGGAAACTTTCATAAAATGCGGTTGTGGAGATCTTGTGTGGTCCCAGTGCGGCTGCTTTGATATCGCAAAGGTCTAAATTCATCAGCGATGCATCAGCTCTGACCAGCGTCGAATAATGAACGACTAACCTCGAAATGCGACGTTCCAGGGAAACCGCGACCAGCCGTGGCCGCTCCGATGTTGCTCGTGATCGTGACGGTAAGCGCATGACGCGCGGAGCCGAGCAACGAGTGTGGTATCAGGAATGGTCTGCAGCTCGTCCACAGACGGCCGCGCACTAAAGTCGCGCGACAAATTCCGCAGCGTGTCCTGGCGAACCTCGATAGGGAGGTTGGTGAACCCATGAGTGGATCTAATCTCCTTGCGATGTCGTTCCAACATTTCTTCCACATGCGTTGAGATCATGAGGAGGTCTTCGTGGGGTCGTGTGTCTCCCTCCTGTTTTCGCTTGGCGGCGAATTTGACGTAGTTGTCCCAAGGCGCAACAAGGTCCGCATCCAGCGGGGGCCTCGCCTCGTATTTGCTGAACAACTTCTCGAGTTCACAAAGTCCCCGATCCTTCCCTTCAACCGCTGCGTCAACCAGAACGTCCATGATAAACCGACGGCAAAGCGACGGGTTGTTGGGGTCAATTTTTCGCTGCAACGGCGGAGTATTGGATACTGACGCAAAGTTGGATCGCGGCTTTTGAGCGGATTTCCAAGTGGGGCCCTCAGCATGGGAAAATCGAGTGGCATCATCCTTGCGAGCCTGAACTTTCAAAACATGCCCTGTTTTAGCCGCATCAAGGATCGTATTGAATCTGCAAAATTATCAACATGTTTGCTGCAAGAGAGAGAGGGAAACAACAAACGTATACGCCACGCGAACTGTCTCGGAGTCGTCATAGCCTCGGGTGAGAACGGCGTTATCGTGGTATCCAGAAAATTGACCAAGCGCAGAAGGGTCCCGAAGAGCCGCGAGTAGATATTTCTGCAACCTATGGGCTTTCATTGACTGCGAGACGCCTACATTGTCGGCAAGAAACTTTGCAACGGTGGTCGAATCGCGGGTGAAACTTAGGTCGACTGCAGGTGGCTTGACAGAGAATTCGTCTGGCGCATTTCGAAACGGAACAACAACTTCGGAATCCCAGATCACGATACAACGATCGCCATCGTAGTCACCGGTGTGGAGTTCAGCTAGCGCTATGTGGGAATGACACGACTTGCCTCCAGCTAAGAAATCCAACAGCCGTCGTTGACCTTGGACAGAGCAGATAATCACGTCGACGATATCATGATACTCTGGACAGCGAACGGCTTTGATCTAGATAAAGGGTCAGTATTCATGGTAGAAACAAGACGAACGCTCACTTTGCGAACATCGCTTGGAACTTTGCATGGGTTGCGAGTCATCTACAAAATATTTAACCTTGATTTGACTTAAGTGGCTACACACTTACCAGAACATCTCCGAGAACGATATCAGTGGGTGGCCCTTCGGCCTGGACAAATTCTCGTCTCGAACTTTTGAAGTGTATTTCGTCCGGTCCTAGAATGCCCAAGTAGTCTAATAGCAGTTTGAGCAATGTTAAACAACGATAATAAAACAAGTCAACCTGGGACGACGAATGCGGCAGCACTTTGCGGTATATCGAAGTTGAAGTTTTGAGTTCTGAACAAGATTTTGGTTCGAGCCATTTGCTTCAGCTTGTCCCGGAGGACTGGCAGCGACTGAGGTGTAAAGCCACTATCTAAGAGGGTGTCAGTCATCGCATTACGTAAAATATGAACAGACCGAGCAACGCCATAACGGTCTCAGCAAGAGAAGACGGGCACCCCGAGATGTAATCCGGCCACCATGCCACGGACCTTTCCTGAACCGCAGCTTCGAAGGTATCGTCTTCCACGTCGTCCACCTCCTCATGTTGCTCGAAGCCATGAATGCGCGCGTCGCTCCTTAGCTCGCGAAACCGTCGCGCTGCATAGACATTTTCACTCTTCTCGACCGCCCTGTAGAGCTCCGCCATCTGCTGGAACGAATCCAGATCCTTGTCATCAGTCTTGGCCCATGACAGCAGGCTTTCCACACCAGCTGCAAGATGTGTAGCTTGAAAACGCACAAGTACGTCTGCTGGTACTCCATTGTGTTCTAAATTGATCATGACCTCTGCAGACAACCGAGCGGGAGTTTTGGTGCGGGAAACCCGGAGGAGATCGACAGTTGAATTTGCTAAATGTGCTTGCGCAGAGTGGTCATAGACAATTTTGACTTGAGAATCCTTGCGGAACGCAATCCGTGATGCATTGGAGCTGTCATTCGATTGCTTGACGAGCAATAACATTCCCTTGTATCACGTAAGCGCTGGTGCGGTATACAATGAGAAGGAGCAAGCTACCTTGCGACCTCCCTGACGGACTTGGACTGCACAAGGTAGTGTTTCGAGCTTAAAATCATGCTGTAGTTTCAGATTGAAAAAGAAATTGGAGAGGCCGCAACCGTCGGTCATAACGCTGTCCGTAGAGGCAACTGGATATGTTATTAGCAAAGCGACAAAAGCACAGTCCATCTCTCACCAATGTCATCGATCTCCTCGACACAATCAGGTAAGACAACCGGACCAGGAACAGAGCTGGATAAACCCAACGCAAAGCGAGACGACCATTTACAGAGTAGCTGAATAGATGGTTGGCAGTGTAGGAGTAACGAAAATAAAGAACAGACCTGTTTTGAATTGAGTTCCAGCGGGTTGAATCCATTGATGAATTCATAAAGGGAGAGCCCAGTCCCAGTTGAATCAGCGATGACGTTGTTCTTCACTTGTTCGTTCGTCTTGAAAAGGAAGGACACGGCCTTCCTTGGAGAAAAATGCGCGGAAGACGCGATCGAAAATGACGAATGGTCTTAAAAAGAACTGTTGAACGCGTCTATCTCCACCGTGGAGGACCTTCGAGGGAACTCGAATTCGCAGGAAGCTTGAAGAGCCATACTGTCTGTAGAGACGGCAGGATGGTCCAATGGTACACCGGTCAAGATGAACACTGTATTTTGACGATTCAAGTACGAGTGTCCCCGCAAAGCACACTTTGCCGCCATATCCGGGGAAATCGTCGTTGTTGCCAAGATTTGCGTCGGGGTTGGCAGCCATCACATCCTCTTCGAGATCGAGAATAGCCCAAGGTGACTGTGTGCAAAGATTGGTCAGGGAGTTTGCGGGAATGTGCGTCATACCTGTATTCGTTGTTCGGCAGCCAAAGCTTTGTCCCCAAGGCGGCTTGATCGCTGGACCCCACCCTTGGTCAATGTTTCCGCAGCGTAGGGTGCAGCGTCTTGGCTTGAGCCTTTCAGCTCATCAAGACGATCAACAGCAACATGCGTCACGGCCTTCCGACTGACAAGACGAGCGAGTTCCCACTTAACACCGGTTGAGAGTGAAGGCATCATGTTGTCGCCCTTGGGGTCTCCAAAGCCAGCCTGAACATTGTTTAGGAATCTATGACTCCCAGATAAGCGGTGCAACTCACGATAAAGAACGGATTGTCAACATCGTCGGAAGCTGGGCAAGACGTGGTGAAGAAAGAGATCGTATTCTCTGGCTCTTTCGTAATCTTGGCTACTTTGGCATTCGCCGGACCCGGAGCGTCATCGTCAATCTTCCTTTTCAATGGACTCGGAGGAGGAGATGGGAGTCCTGAAAATACATCTGAATCGTCTTCAAGTTCGTCCAATTGCGCCCAAAGCTCGGCTTCAGAGTCGGCATCCTGACTGGTTGCCTGACGACCCTGTCAGTGCGCCCGCAAAGGGGAAAAAAGGTATACTCGCGTGGGGTGAAGGCTCAGAGCCCATGATAATTGGAGGAAAGTTTCTTCAAGCACGGCATTCAAGTTCGAAAAATGAATTGGTGCAGTGCAAGGTTTTTGGTCACGTGGATAACCATTGGAACTCGAACCAACTCTACTATTGATGAAAACAGGCCGACGCGCGGCGGAGCAAACAGAACCCTGGATTGTTCTCTGGGTGAGGAGGTTAACCCACATACTTAAGATGAAGGTCATTGAAGGACCATGTTAACCAGCTCTTAATAAAATGGTCTTGCCCTTTCTGAGATCATGCATAAACTGTATTCAGCATTAGTGTAGCCATTCGGTTGTACAGTGCTCCTATAGACAGCTTAATGGCATACTGTAGGTTCAAGGCTCAAGCCGAACCAAGTGTAAGCTGCCGCAGTCGCTCGGGAACCTCAGCCAGAAACATTCTGGGGCATCGGCAGAGAAAAGTACTTGATGAATCGGAATGATTATCGGGCCGAGGGTTCGGAGTCTGGAACGGGCTATTGAGACCGTCGCT